ATTTTAAGCTATGACAGGTGTTTCCATTTTGCTAAAAACTGTTTCTTCTAATCAATGTTGTAAATATTGTAATTTTGTTGCTAATCTCAGCTACATGTGGTATCTATTACACTTCTGTCCCTCCTGGGATCCCTCACATAAAACTCTCTCTCTTTTTGGTAGTTTTTCCTTCCTCTTGTTGAGGGTTAAGGACAGAGGATGTCACTTCTTGATATGTGTGTGTGTGTATATATATATATATTATTTTGATATAGCTTCTTATTTGAAATATCACTGAATACTTTAATTTAAATTAGCTGGAAGTAGAATATGATATCCTTTAATTAGAGACACATAATTAATAAGTTTAGTGGTTTTGTGTTTTGTCTTTTTTACATTCACCCTACACAATTCTGACCACCCCCTGGGATAAAAGCTTGAATCATAGCTTCTGAGGTCACTGAGTGTATATTCAGAGTCTGTTGTGTAAAAATGTGTGAACTCTCCCCACATTAACAAATCCAGTCCTAATCCCGTCCTCTTATTTCTACTTCAGAGCAAGAACTTCTGCGCCAGGAGCTCAACACTCGTTTCCTGGCCTCCCAAAACGCCGACCGCGGCGCCTCGCTGGGCCCTCCCCCCTACCTGCGCACCGAGTTCCACCAGCACCAGCATCAGCACCAGCATCAGCACCAACACACCCACCAGCACACCCACCAGCACACCTTCACGCCCTTCCCCCACGCCATCATGCCCACCCCAGCACCGCCTATGGTGCGTACCCCTGCCAGAAATGTGAGGATAAGTAGAACACAACTGTATTGGGGTGGAGGGGGGTGATGTCAAAAAATCATTATAACCAAAGAGTTTCTTCTGATAATGACTTTAATGTGTGGAGGAGTTGGCGGGCATGGCCCTGAAAGTGTTTTCTCTCTGTGGGTGTGCAAGTGAAGACTTCACAGTTTGACGTGTGTGAGAGCAGCACACTGTAGAGACCTTTGAGTTTCTGTGCAGCCTTTCAATGATGACCATGTGTGTCTGTCCACACCACAATGATGCCTTTATTCTCCCAGAAAGCCTTTCTAGTGTTTTCCCTGGCATCGTCTCCAGATTCGAACGCAGTTATTTTCTAAATTGGCAATAACTCGCCCAAAGCATGTTAACTTCAGAGCCAGCTTTCAAAACATAATACACTTAATTCATTCTGAATTTAATGACATCATTTGGGTTTTTTATTACTGGCAAATACCTTGTGTTAAGAGCCCCGCTGTTTGTTGGGGGAGACCACAGGCAATGGGTGGCTGGACCTAAAGCTCACAAACACATGCACACACACACACACACACACGCACACACATACACACACACACACAGAGAGCCAGGCTGCTTGGCTCTGATGATACCTCAAAGGCAGCATGGCGAGGCCTCTGACAGCTAATGAGGCCATAAAAAGCCTCTTTAAGGCTGCACTGTTTAGTCTTGACTAGGGAAATATTCACTCCGAGCCTGTGCTGCACTAAAACGAGACCAAATGAGACACAGAGCCCACGCTAGTTTATAAGGTCTTGAGATGATCATGAAAAGAGGAGGATGAAAACAGTCTGGCTGAGGAAGTGTTTGAACTTGGATCTTGGAGATCTTGAATCATAATCTCAACCTGTAAGCATGCGCTAATATATAAACACAGATGTAGTATGTGTCTGAAATGACCCGGATCGACCCTGTGACACTAAACAATGTGGAGGTTTTCATGTCTTCTCTACGTATTTGTTTCATTTCTCCTACAGTTTGAAAAATACCCAACAAAAGTTGACCCCTTCTACAGACACAGCGTGAGTTTTCCTGCTGCGTTCTGCCCGTCTGCAGACATGTCTGTTGCTTGACCATCCCAGCCTGTGTCCCTTGGTGTTATAGCAGTGTGTGTGTACGTGTTAGATTCCATGAAACTGTTCATCTGCATCTGAATAGACACTTAGCATCGGAGCTTTACCATTTCACCCCTCAGCAAATGTCGTGATTAATGAAACTTTGCTGTTTTCTTAGGCCTCGGAGCACAAGATTTATTGTGCACGCATGTAACGATGAAATGATTGTGCATAGAAATGAGTACAGATGGAGACACTGGCTGCTTAACAGAGCAGACTGTGTTATTGCCAGAGGAATACTAGATCTTAGTCTTGCTTACTACTCTTCATTTGCATTTGTCTGCAAACAGCAGTTTGGCTCATTATTATTTACTGAAGGCGACTTCCATCGGTCCCCACTCTACTACCATGTTTGAAGCTTCCCCACACCTGCTGTGTGTTTCTGCATAAAAAAGCTTTTTCCTCAAACTGTCCTTCAGAGCTGAGATGAATGTATATGCATATCAAACCTGGGTCACAGAGATGTTACACAGCGCTGCTAGTTTGTTTTTAAGCAGTAAATTCTCTGTATTTCCTCACTCTTATTATGGCAGCAGCAAACACCCTGAAGCCTTTTTCCTCTCTATGAACATAGTGATGTCTTAAAACATGATGCACGGGGAATGTTGTATTTAAAACCTTCCACAACGGCCTCTAGAGCTTCTTAGAACTCCTCCTGGCTTGAAATAATTTGACTGCAGCAGCCATGATTAAAGACATGCAAGTTAAGAATGAAAAACATTCTCTATTCCCACTAAGGTTAATGTGACTGACAAGAGCAATTATACCGAGGAGTTTATTACATTTCTGTTGCTCCCCTGGATGGAATTATGGAAGCCTTGAGCACTTGTTTGGTTTACATGCATTTTGCTTGTATTACAACATTCTAGTTTTCATATCAAAGGATGGTTTCCCTTAGTTAAATCCACTGGGAATGAACTAGAAATATTCTATAAACTGTACTTTGTGAAACATGAAGGCAATCATTTGTAACTCCCCCTATTACAGCAGTCTTAGAAAAGTCTGACTGAATGTTGCTCATCTGTCATTAGAACTTGTTTGTTGTTGCATGTCCTCCTCCACATGAAGCTGTTGCATGAATCTCACTGTCAGACTGAACCATCCTCACGCCTCCTCTCCCTCTTCTCTCCCTCAGCTCTTTCATTCATACCCACCGGCCATGTCTGGCCTTCCCCCCGTCATCCCTCCGACCGGGCCCTTCGGCTCGCTGCAGGGCGCCTTTCAGCCCAAGGTAAAGCGCACGCTGACACCACCACACGCCCACATTCTCTCAACTCCAGATACACAAACTGAAAATAGGAGCTATTTACTGAGAATCTTGTTTCCATCTGTGTCTGGTGATCTCTAGACCTCTAATCCACTGGATGTGTCCACAAGACCAGGAGCCGTCCCACACACATTCTTACAGAAGGACCCCAGGGTAAGAACACATGCACACTAACACACAACACTCACAGTGCAGAGGTAACCTCAACTCTGTACATGTTGCATAAGTGTTGGAGTCATCAGGTTTTCAACATAAATGATGTTACTATAAAGAACTCATGCACTTGGTTTGTTGTGAACACAGACTGTGTTCCTGCCTCCTCTGCTGCTGTATTTCTTATTTGTATTCAGAAGCAACTAAGTTTAACACTTGCTAATTAAAATGAAGCATTTAATTAAAGTTAAGAAAAACATTTTATTCATAAGATACTACACAGAGACTAAAATAACTCAACCTCTTTTTCTCCCCCTCTCTCCTGTAGCTAACGGATCCATTTCGGCCCATTCTCAGGGTGAGTGCTCTCTCTCTCTCTCTCTCTCTCACACACGGTGCCCTAAAGGGTTTTTACTAATGTAGTAGTTTCTTTAATGAAATGAGCGGCTGAGTGTACTAGTTTATTTATCGTCCGCGTACAGAAACACACTCTTCTTCACAGCAGACATGTTGTCACACTTGAACTGAACAGAGCCATCACTCATGTTATCAGTTCACACCTATGCTGCTATGACATGTCAAAATGGCTGCTTTGAAAAAAGGCTGACTGTCACATTTAAACAAACTGTCTCTCCACGGCTACAGGTACTATACCACTGTCACACATCATATCACCATCACAGATCTTATGTCATGGTGCTGTAGCATCAGTATCACTGAATGTTCAGATAACTTGACTGTGAGAGGGTTGTGTTGTGTTTATATCATCTGACCATTCAAGATGATTGTGAGGGTTACAAAGTAAAGTGCACTGACAATATTTCCATTAGATTTCACACATGTTTAATTTCGTTCCAAGCTGAATACCAGAGCATTAAGAAAATATATTTTATGACAAAACATTTATTTTTTGTGTGTTTACAGAAACCAGGGAAGTGGTGCGCCATGCATGTCCATACTGCCTGGCAGATATACCACCACCAGCAGAAAGTGAAGGTGAGGACTCATCTGACTCCTCTTGCTTTGCATTCTACTTAATATATTCTACACACTAACTGACTCACTCACACTGCACATGTTCTTATTGTGCCACTGACTGTTTTGAGTAAACACTTTCAGTTTGTACATAATACACATTAAAACTGTCCCAGAATTGGGGAAGTTTGGATTTTAAACACTGGATCAATCTTGAGGTGAATCTGGCTGCATCAGTACATAAAGTATAGTTCTAAATAATTGCTTCATATTGTTAAGACAGAAGCTGACCTCTAACAGCGATTTGTGAAAGTAATTCTACTGTTTCACACTCTTTGAATAATTAAAATAACTAATTTAAAGTCTGGTTTCTGGAGTCGTAACCATAATCATCATGAGGTTATAACGATGGGTCCATTAAGAAACCTGGCAGCCAGATGACTCCTGTATCGTCTCACATTGTGTCCTTGAGCACAGCTTCTTCAGTAGTCACTTACTGTAATGTGCTTCACATAAAATGAACATTTCTTTGCACTGTTAATAACGTATTATACACAGGGATACGTCTCCAGCAGTGTGTAAAAGGGTTTTACATGTGTTTCTCTATATTGCTTTGGCGTCTTTCAGCAGCAGATGCAGGTCGACCCTCACAAGCTTGACTTTGGCCTCAAACCAGAGTTCCTGAGTCGACCTCCGGGCCCTGGCCTGTTTAGCGGCATCCATCACCCCCACGACTTGGCCCGCCCAGCTACGCTGTTCTCCGCTGCGGGTGAGTGTGTGTGATCTCTGAAAGAAAGATTGATGTTTTACAACAATGGCCGTCGATCATTTCATGCTGTTCAGACTGAGAGGTTGTCTGTTCACATTATTGTCTGTCAACAATCCAACAGAATTTATCCACAACATCAAAACAATAATGACTGTTTAATGCATCTCCCTTCAGATGTTTTAGACAACACAATTTTAACTTTTTACTCAAGTAGTAGCTTGCAGGTTTTTCTGGAGCTTTCAACAGCATCTTGTGGTATTCCTCTTGGGTGTATTAGAATAGCCAATACTGTCAATTTAGAATACTAACAGTTGCTTTGCAATTAAGTCACAGCTGAGGCTGAAGGAAATGTAATTCGTTTTTTTAAATCTGTGGTCATAAACCAAAGTCAACACCAAATGAAAGATTTGACCACCTGGTGGCGCTAGATTAAAAGTCAGGAGATTACATAAATCAGTGGACTGCAACCCCTGGGGACCTTGAATGCACTTCAGTAGACATGTACTGTCACAGTCAGACACGTCATCAGCTGCACTAGGATCAGTCCCAAGTTCTTTACCTCCTCTACAGAACTCAGCATCAGTTTTAGTTGTGGACTTTCCCATGATGGGTAAGGTCCCTCCAGTGCACATTAGAGTTCACTATGTGAATGTTTCATGGGCAATCACAGTAATCAGGTCTATATCAGTCCTCAGCATAGTGGACAGGAGAAATAACAACACATTGGACAAGCTCTGAGGTTAGTCCGTTGACAGACCTGCAGCATAGAATATCCTCTCAGTTTGCCAGGGATGTGAGACTGGTTAAACAGTATTAATTGGTCAAAATAAATACTGTCGGTTAACGGTTAAACAGTTAATTTTATGCATCCCTAATAAGAATAACCTGAAATGACAGAGTACTTGGGAGTCTTTCATCCCATCTGCTAACATGGAGAGAGTGGGACTTATGACATTTACTGCAGTCAGCCACTCAAGATGTTTTGGCTTCAGTGTTGGGGAGCTGTCATGTCCTCCAACTTTATAAAGTCATTGGTGAGGACATTTTACAGATGAAAATCAAATATGTCACTGCCCTCTAGAGGACAAACTGTGCTATGGCAACTCTTGCTTCCTCAAACATATCTTTCATGTTGGCCTCATTGATTTGTATAGTAGGAGCTAGTGGAAAACTCCAGAAAAGCCTCAAGAACAGACTTTCATGAGAAATCTGCAAATACCTTTGTTAATATCACAGTCAGTAGGTTCTGGATGTTCTCATGATACCCTCTCTCTGCCTCCTCAGGTCCCACACACCCATCTGCAGGTCCCTTCGGCCATCCACCCCACCACCCAGGAAACTTCCTCGCCCCAGCATCTCACTTAGGTAAGACAACTCTTCAGTTCAGTTCTCATGTCTCATTCTGAAAGAGGAAAATGCTGATTGTATGAAATAACATGTTGTGTCTCCCACTAGAACCTTTCCCCAGACCACCATCATTTGGAGGACTGGGATCTCTCAGTTCATCTGCCTTTGGAGGACTGGGAAATCCAGCACTAAGTGAGTTTCAGCCTCATGAATTATTGTTGGTTATATACTTTTTACTTAAGCTGTGCTAAGACATGAACTTGACTCGTGAAAGGCAAACTACGGTTAAACTCTGCATCCAATTCTCTGGATTTAACCCTGAGGTCATGTCTGAAAACAGCTTTGCTGTTTGTGTAACAGTTGTTTCTAAAGTGATTTAAGTTTTAGTTAATGTTATTCAAAACATCAGCTGAATAGAAATATAATACAGAAACACCAGGACAAGATGTGGTGATACGCATTTAACTTGTGTCCTGTTTTTCCGCGTGTTGAATCCCTAACAGCGGCCAATTCAGTGTTCGGCCATAAAGATGGCCCAAATGCACAGCAGCACTTCAACAACAGCAGTAACAGTAACCACCAGGAGCCGTGGAACCGTCTCCACCGTACACCACCCTCCTTCCCAACACCACCACCCTGGCTGAAACCAGGAGACTCTGAGAGGAGCGCCTCAGTCAGCTCGCACGAGAGAGACAGAGACTCTGACAAGAGAGACTCAGTCAGTAAGGATGACAAGGACAGGTGAGTTAAATTCAGTAGGTAGCTGTCAAAAGTGATTATACCACCATTACTCCTGTTTATGTCACTCCAAAAACACTGATGTAATGATTTGTAATTTTTAATTGTAATAAAAATTTAAAGAGTTTTTTTTTCTGAAAAAAAGCTACTGAACGGTACTAAAAGGGGAACTTTGTTTATATTTCTAGGGACTCTGTAGAGAAGCGTCACCTGAGCCATCCATCTCCAGTCCCCGTCAACCCCATCAGCCTCCTTGGCCACAATCGGCCTCCTGAGCACCACAGGAACCATCTGCCCCCTGCTTCTGGAGAACCTCAGAGGGAAAAAGAGAACAAGTCAAAAGACAGGGAGAGGGACCACTCAGAGTCCTGGAAAGACAATGGCACAGATGACCACAAGCTCAAAGACAACCAGCACAGTGACAAGGACACACCTGTCATTCTAGACAGCCGAGTGTCAGAGGACAAAGTGCCCAACAGGGGGACAACGTCCCCCTACATTCGGCAGACCAGCCTAGAACGTCCCAACAGCGGCCTGAGCAGAGAGATCCTGGAGAAGAAGGTAGAGCTGCCGTATGAGCACCAGAAGAAAAACAGTGAAGTGAGGGTGAAGGAGGAGAGGAAGGAGGAACAGGATGGAGTGACAGAGAGGCCAAGTGAGCACCCAGTTCAGGCACCCTCCACACCAAACCTCCACCCTCCCTCCTCCATGCCTATGCACATGGGCATGGCTGGTGTCCATCCCATCAACAGCATCAGCAGTCTGGACAGAACTCGAGTGGTGGCACCCTTCATGGGCATTAGCCCTATCCCAGGAGCAGACAGGTTCCCCTACCCTGCTTTCCACTGGGACCCAATGCGGGACCCATACAGGGGCCTGGACATTCACAGACGGGACCCTTTGGCCAGAGAACTGCTGCTAAGAAATGACCCTCTGCACCGCCTAGCAGCGCCACGCCTCTACGAGGCTGAGCGCTCCTACAGGGACCGTGAGCCCCATGACTTTAATCGTGACCACATCCACCCTCTGGCCCTGGAGCAGAGGAGGGAGCATGAGCGTGCACAGCTGGAGGAGCGTGAACGCCTCAACATGCTCAGAGAGGACTATGAGCATGGTCGCCTACACCATGCAATGCACCATCCTGCCCTTGAGGGACACCTCCCCCACCAAGCCCCAGGCCTCATGGCCCCTGGACTCCCAGGCATGCACTTCTCTAGAGTCAGTCCCTCGGCTGCAGCAGCAGCAGCGGCGACCGCCCATCAGAATGGTATCCTTAACAAAACACCACCCACGGCCTCGCTGAGTGCCCCGCCCCCACTCATCCCCACATTGGGTGCCCGGCCTGGCTCACCCAGACGGACTACTCCCATGGCCACAGATATCAGAGACAGGCCGCCTCACAAAGACATTGAGGCACGGTGAGCTGAGCTTCAGCAGACTCAGACCCATTCAGCCCTGTGCCTCATTAACACTGAACTCACACCAAGCACTTAGCTTTGGGCAAAGCAAGACTGTAATATAGCTGTGAATAACTTATGTGGGTTGAGACACGCCCACACAATGAATTGTTTTTGTATAAAACTACAAAGAGACAATATTCATGGAACAAAAAAATACATTAAGATTTTTTTCTCAGTTTGCTCCAGCTTTTTGTGTTACTTCTTGTACAGGAAAGTGCTGCGGAGTACTAATGAACAAATTTGGAATGTACAGGTACTTAAGCACTGACAGCAAAGTGTGTAGATAATGTGTACAGTTGCTGTGCTCACTCTGTTTGGATTAAAAATCATGGTACAAATATGCAAAAGGGTGTTTTGAAAGCTTTACTTTGAACAAATGTACACAAAGAAGTATTAAGGCAGTGATTCAGAATGTGCTTTTTGCTATTTCATTTGTTTTTTTTGGTTGACGCAGCTGATTAGCATTGTACCAGAGACCCCATATTCAACTATGCAACAAATGTCCAGGCTCCCTTCCTGAAAGCCGGCCTTCTCACCACTACAGACTGTGCACCAATGACTGACCAAGAGCTGTATTCTCTCCACAACTCAGACTCAAACACTGGGTCCCTGCAGCCAGAGATGAGCTTTAACTGATCCACACAATTTGGAAAAGGTTACGTTTATGAAAAACTACAGTCTCGACTATTGTGACAATTGTGTTGACAATCCTAGAAACAGCTGAGGGAAGAATTGCATTTCGAATGATTTCTAATGTAAAAAGCCAGCAGCACAAATGTTAAGATACTTTTTTATCCTACTCTTCTCTTCGTCAGTTACCACCAGTCTTGTTCTGGGGAGAATGCAGCGCATTAAACACCATGACAGCACAGGAGCCCTATTGACGGAGTGTAAAGTACATGTTTTGGAAATAGGTTCTGTTGGTCAAACAGTGTATTAAAGTGCTTTCCTAAGTTGTTGTACCTACAAAATCAAAAGACAAAAAAGCAAGTCTGACAAAGGACAGTTTGTTTCTAATGAGCAGAGATCTATTTTAGTAGTCCACTGAAGGTTTAGTTGTGCGCTTCAAACTCTGTGATATCATGTTGTGCAGTGTTTTTTAATCCAACATAAAAATGTCCACCGGAGCCATAGTGGTTAGTTGATGCGTATTTCAAAAAGATTGTTAAATGAGATTTTTTTTGCTGTTTACCATGTACAGGGGGAAAAAATTAAGTCTTTCTAGATCATGTACAAAAATGAGAAAAAATGAAGCGACTGAATCTTCAGCATGCTCCTCATTTAAACTTGTGTTATGTAAATTGTGCCATGTTATTAAAAAATGTGTACTTATCCTGTCTGTGGGCTTTTATTCCTCCACCTTCATGCACTGAACTGAGTAAACAGGCTATATTTCTTTCTGACTCTACACAATTACACACTTAATGACTTTCAGCATTACACTCCAATGGAGGATAAACTACCTCGAGTACAACTCACACCAGCCTCATAAATATTTTAAGTGCTATCGATTGTGTAGTTATAAAGTAGCTTTAAAGATTTTGCCACTTGATACAGTCTGAGCAGGTCATCAATCCCCGAAGAGCCAGAAGATGAAAAATCTCTGCTGTAACAGCAGGTGCTGACTTATAACCAGATTGCTTTGTAACAGTAAAAGCCGTAGAAACATCATATCAGCTGGATACTGACACACATGAGAGCTGCTTCTTGATTTAGTAACAGTGCTTCACACAACACGCTGCTAAATCAAGGTACGGTACTTGTGTATTCATCAGAGGATGCAAGAGTATTGACATTTCCATTAAACTGAATAGCCACAGCATTCAGACACCCCTCTCTGATTGATATTAACACTGAAGCACCCAGGTCACACATCAATCAGATGTTGACTCAATATGTTACTAGTGGGAAATGTGGGTTGCCCGTGTTGCCTCGTGCTCCTGACACAAACACTGATTCTCCCAGACCTGGGCACATGAAGCGCTTTGACTATAGTATGTGGTAGTTTGGGCTTTAGAACAACAGAGGGCGCCAAACTAATTGAAAAACATGACAGAAACTCATATCTTAAATTGAAGAGCTCAATCCAATCAACCCTGCAAATACTGACTTTCAATACAGCTGCAAAAAAAAGATACAATTTGCAGAGGGATTATTTACGCCAGCGTCTCAAACATGAATAGTTTCCGGTATTTCTAGTCTTCTGTGATAATAAACAACTACTTCATTTCATCTCTAATATCACTGAATTTAATCTTTGGATTTTGGACTGTTGATTAGACAAAACCAGAAAACTAATCTAGTCTATCAATTGACAAATGATTCAGTACATTTAATCATTTTTAAATTCATTTAACTGTTGATAATGTTCTGAATTAGTAAATAAAATCTCAAAATAGTGTAAATGTTTGTCTAACTAACAACTTGTGTTTTAAGTTCTAATCTCACATCTCTGACCAGGTTAAAACTCCAGCCCGGTCAGCAGTTGAGATCAAAACATAAGGATGCATGTCATCTCACTGAGTCATGAGATCTACTCCCACTGACTGGTGTCCTCTCTTCATCCAGAGCTGCTGACTGCCTCTATCAGCTATTTCTGAAACAGCCCATTCAAAGCACTGACCCTACAAAATCCTAAACTCCCAGAGTAAACTGCTTTAAGATGTTGGGACAAATCCTTCCTCAGCTGGACAGAACCTGGCATTCAGCTTCCACTGCAGGTTTTATGTATCTAAGCTTCTTCCCTCAATTTGCCTCACATGTGCCACATCCTGCCAGAGACACTGACTACGTTTACATGGACACCAATATTCAGATATTAACCCGTTTAACACCTGAATGAGACACTGCCATGTCAACAGTATATTCTGATTACCTTAACCTAAATACCTATCAATAATCAGAGGAAGGTACTACTGCCTGAAAAGGAACAGAGAAACTATTAGTCTGTAAAGAGGGACACAATCCACAGTGGTGATGGACAGAGGATTTAAATGAATGAGGTCTGACAGTGTGGTGTCTAATGGCTCTTCAGTGAAAATGGGATCCTGTGAATGCATCTTCTTAATCAAACAACACAGAAACAAGTGACGACAACAACAGAGAGGAATGATGAGACAAAAACAGGACTACACCTGTCAGCAGCTCTGGAGTTCAACAGATCACTGAGTGATGGACTCTTCCCTCTCTGCTTTACATTGTGATATCCTACTGATACCATTATACTGTTAACGTGTTAAACTTAATCATTATTATTATTGATTAACCTGCCAGTAACTTCTTCAATAAATCAACCACCCTCTTCCTGGAACCTAATGCAGTTATATAAAGATAGAGATTACAATAATGGAGCTCGCTGAATTCAGGTCACAGCTGCAGAGAGGTGTGTGCTCTCTCTTCTGACAGCTGAAGTCATTTTTCGGATTGCTTCTATTTCTATGATTTGAGACTGTAGGTTGTTTTTGGGTGAAGTCTCTTGTATCACAGATTCATTCAGGATTCATACTGAACATAGTGCTGACTTGTGGTGTATCCAGGGGCATTGGGTGGAAAAACTAATCACAGTCACTGACACTAACCTACACTAATCTGTCAAGTCTTTTGAGTGAACCAACTTTTTAAACTGACTGATAGTATCAACTGAACAGGTAGCCTAATATTGTTTAAATAGAAACTGTAATTATAATACATAAGAAAAGATTTACTAGTAAAACTTTCCCTTTTTAGCTCTTCAACACGAGGACAGGTGGACACTAACTGAGTTCCTATTGCTCACAGTTTAACTAGATACAGTGATTAGTATGTTAGCAGTACAAAGGTTATGCTCCGCTCATGTAATGTTCACAAAATTTGG